TGAACCTTGAGGCCTTAGCTCAAAAGGTCACAACTTATTATGCTAGCATTAGATAAAATAATTGTCTAAACACACATTTTCTGCAGCACCTGCAAAAGAAGCAAAAGGCACAGCCATTTCTGGGCTGTTGTATTTAATCCAACATGAAATTCTCATAACACTTTGTCAAATGTTTGTCTCCTTTGACAGAAAGGCAAAGCTTATAAATAAATCCAGCATTGCTTTCATTGTGATTACAAACAAGCCATCTTTGCCTGAAACAATGAAACCTGGGTGAAATGTTAGGACAGTTGTGCTGACACAGTTCAAAGCAGGAGGCTGCCACATATAGCACAAAGCTATAATGGCAAAGAGGCTTTTTGCTTTAAATTGAAATGCAAAGGAGGCCCCAAGCCAAAGGACAGAACTGTATGAGAGCATCCACTTGCTAAGCAGAAGGACAGTGCTGATTTGGGAGGGGATGGGTGGGGAAGGGAAAGGAAGGGGTCTGAGTGCATAGGATGCTCTGCTGCTATACTGACTTCATACCACAACCAATGTATTAGAGATGCTCTTGAACCTGGTGCTAGTTTCTCCAAGCTTCACTGTCCTGATTCTTCCCATCTCCATCTGATCCAGTTATGGTCTTCAGGTGATTTCTATTGGATTTTTAAAGCCACAACTTTATGAATTGTAACATCACACTTTTCCTGAAAACTCAGCGGTTACGTTCTGTAGTAAGTTACTGTACTATTTCACATAATTCTGACTCTTCAGTGTTTTTTTCTGTAAATATCATACACAGCCCATACCTCCATTTGAATCAGGAAGTCCACGGTACTCATACAACGGAGTACCAAGACAGTCTACAACTGCTTTACAAATAATGTACTTATGCACCCGCTTATTAATTTGACTTACTAATGTAAATTGATCATAGACTTGCATCAAGTCCTCCATTTTGTACTGTTCTAGCACCACAAAATTTTCCAGGTTCGTGCTTATCTTTCTTGCACAGTCTTGGCAATGTACAACATAGGTCTTTCGAGAATTGCTCTCACTAGTGACAAAAAGCAGATCAAAGACTTCCACCTATTAGATAAGAAACAGAAAGTCAATTGTTACAATTTCATTTTTTAGAAGTTAAACCATGAAAACGGTTTTTTTTTAAAGATTTACATCCTTACCCTGTGCATGCAGTGACAAACATTAGATTTGTTTAGGGAAAATCTATCCTCCTAAGGCTCAGGCAGAGAAGTGAAATATTACACTTAGGATGTCTGTGTGAGCAGCGCTACTGGAAAAGCTTTTGGTCAATATTGACCAAGCAGGATTCATACTCTGAACAGAGGTTACTCAGTAAGGCAGGGATTTATAACATTTGTACCTAATTTTCCTTTTTAAAATTTGTGAGCAAAACAAGTTTGTGACTTATTTCCTTACTACTCAGTCACATTCCTGTCCTGCCCAAGAGTCAGAGCATAACTAGAAACTGATTTTCAAGAGGAGGGAATTTTCTTTCAAGCTTCATGAAAAATACTATCCAATACTTTAAAGGAACTATTAATAGAAAGTTGATAAAAAATTTCAACAAAAGGTATGTTGTTCAGTGAAGAAAATGTAATTAAATTCTCTCTCTTTTGGGGCTTTTGTTGACTTCTGAAAAGAAGGCAGGCAGACCTTTAAAATGAAGCCTAGCAGATCAAATTATATGCAGGAAGGGATAACTACTATCTATAATAACTGAGAACTGAAAATCGACTAGAGTGTAACAATGCTGTGTAAGTACTGTGGAAGAGACTTCAGCAAAATACAGCCTATGTCTAGAAAGACAGCTTGATCAGCTCTTTGAAGACAAGTACTGCATCACATGTATGTGCTTATAGCATACAGCAGATACTGCACCTTAAATGCAAATTTAAAACAGCAACAATAACAGGGCAAAATTTAAATTTTCTTAAACACTAAACTTTACTGACCTCACAAATGTTACAGTAATGAGCTGGCTCGTCCTTTGCTCGCCCATGCCAGACAATCTCTTTTCCTGCAGCAATCAGAGCTTCCCTCAGTGTCTGACACTGTTTGAGAGTTCTTAACAGGCAGTACCTGCAAACAAAATCAGGTGCACAGTCAGTTCAATATTCACCTTTATAGCAAGATTAAAGCAGGCTTAAATTTCTTCCAAGATCTTGTAACAACCTGGAGTTTGCTCTTCCTCTGAAATTTCAGAAACAGCTGGCTAATAAGAATCACGGGACCCACAACTTAGGCCAAAGTTAGACCAAATGCTTATGGACCTTTGTGTAGATTTGTTCCATTTCAGTACTGCTCCTTGCCCTGCAAACAGGCTGTAATCTTTCACTTTTTGCTGGAACACATGAATGCTCTTTTCAGCACAATAAAACAGTGTGTTTTCATGCAGAATCCATGTATTTATTTTGAACTATGAATTTATCAGCAAAAAGTTAGTTAGTACCTGCCAAGTTCAAAGTAACTGTTTACATTTTGTATAAATTATTATAGCCTATCCAAAGATGCGTTTTAATTAACATCCTAAAAACCTCCTTACTTCCTCAATACTACTAAACTTTCGGTTATCCAAAGTCTGGAAACCTAAGTTCTGACAGAAATCACTCTGCACACAGTGGAAATAAAAATCTTTCAGTAAGTATCTTCTTTCATGTGAGAAAAAAAAAAAAAAAGACAGACTGGTTGTTTTTTAATTAAAATCAACAACTCCCTGCTATAGTTCTGTAAAAAATAAAGGTAACTCTATCTTCACAATTTTATATATTTCTCTTCTGTACTACATAATCTGATCTGTGTCCTAGCTTTGTATGAGCTACGTATATTCTCTAAAAAAAAGTTTGCAAAATAGGTCACCAGGTTTCTAAATTAAATGCTATTTACAATAATTTTTAGCTCTCAGCTATCCCATTTACCTGAGCTGCAGCCTTTAATTATCTCCTCCACTGGGTGATTACATTACATGCTCATCAGATGCAGAAGGAAGATTGAAAAAATTTAAGAGGAAGAACAAACACTGGACAAAAACCAAAGTGCTCAAGAGTTCCATCAAAATGTTTTCAACTTGATCCTTCTCCCATGTTAGAGCCTTAAACATGCAATATATACATTATGCATTTTAATTTTTTTTTAAAAAAAGCTTCTTTAATGCATTTCCAAGTAGTTAATAGAATCCTAGGCTTACTTTGAGACACTCTTCTCTTGGTGTATTACACTCAGACTGTTCACCTTCACTAAAAACAATTCTATGGCTTCATTAGTGCCCCCACTGTAAGAATAATGCAAAATGGAAACCGTATTTCTATGATAAACAACATCTTTCCATACACTGAATTTTAAGAAAATCAAACAGCTCATTTAGCTGTAACTCCTTCAACACTTTCAAAGTTTGAAGTTAACGGACTGGTGATGCTAGGGCTCACTGTGTGCAACAATGGAGTGTTGGGCAAATGTGCATGCCCTTCTGATAGGCTCGGTAACTTTGGTACAGCATTCTTATGTGCAATGAGTTAACCATTCTTCCCGTGCTGTTAACTGGAAAAGTCTTTGGATATGCCAAAGACCAACTGGAAGCAAAACTGCACACTTGCCACCATTGTTCACCACTGCTGACTTCCAAGGAGTTCTCAAAGTGTTATTTTCATAGTTTTCTAGTGTTACAATTGTGAAGAAAGAATTGCTCAAAACATAACCCATGTAAAACACCTCTGCAATGTTTGCCAAATTTGCAATCAAAGTCAAAACCAGTAGCTAGAAGGTGAATTCCCCCTCATTACATTCCTAGTATTGGCACTTTAAACAAAAATGTTAACTATTTCATGCTGTCAAAGAATGGGAGAAAGCATACAAACTACCACTTTGAAAATTCACCACAATTTCCTAAAGTATTGGAAGCTTAAAGAAAGCCAAAAAGGTGTCTAGAAAAGTCACAATGTGTAAATTAAACAGTCAGCTTTTAGTTTTGTAGGCTTGGTTTTATTATTGTACAGTGAGAATTCAGTTAAAAAATAATCTGGACCATAAATCTGTTGCAAATTATTTACAGGTATGGTATGAATAGTATGAGTAAATTATGCCCAGTCAAAATCAAATATTTAAGAGAAGAAGATTTTAAAATGGACATCATCCTGATTTATTCTAGAAGCACAGTGAGAAACCTGTTTGAATATTCAGATATCTAGTAAAAAGAAGTCTTCAAGGCATGGAGACCATCCCAATGTCAATGCAAAACTGACCTCTTTGTATCTCTCAGCAATGTATCTTTCC